CTGGAGGACCTGGGATTCATTCTGACACCTGCGAGGTGGGCCAGGCCGAATGGTGGCAAGAAAAGGAGAGGCCTGGCCTCTCGCCAGCGCTGTCTGGGCTTTTGAGAAGCCCCGCACCTGATCTTTCACCGTCAGGCAGCCGCCTCTGCATTTGGAGAATTGGCCACCTTAAGATGAGCCCTGAATGTCGGGGACCCCGCCTCTCTTGGCCATGGTGACAGCATGGTGTGGACTGGGCTGGCTGGGGAACATGGGAGGGCTGCCTGAGGATGCCCCAGGGAGGGACGGGTGGGTGGTTGCTGGCGTCGGGACGCCGGCTGGGTGGCAGGGCATGTACGTGGGTGGCTGCCACTCCTACTGTAGCCACCCTGGAAGGGGCCATGTTGTCCCTGTTTCACAGGTGAGTGAGGGTCAGAGGAGTCCTGGTAGATGGCTCGCTGCCCCCAGGGCCTCTGCCCTTGTCCGTGGCCCTCCTGCCACTTCCTGTTGGGTTTATTTCGGTATTTTCAAAGATCAAAGCTGTCCTCTCTGATATCCGCTTGTGGGCCTTACGTGGACCCTTAACTTCCCACTCAGCCCACTCCTCAGGGCTCTGGTGACCCACCCGCTCCGTGTGCGCCCGAGGGCCCCACCAGCTCTGCATGGACTGCGGACCTCCCCCCACCTCTCAGAGGGGCTGTCCTGTCAACCCCCTTGACCCCGGCTCCGGACTGGGAGCTCCCTGAGGGCAGGCCTGGGCCTGCGAGGCTGGGTGATTCCAGAGGCCACCATCACCCACCTGCTGTTGGCCTGGGTGGCTTGGCGGGGTGGGGTGGGGCGGGGTGGGGCAAAACCCGGTGCACGCCAACTGCAGGGGAGAGGCTCCGGGGCGGGGACAGGGGTCAGAAAGGTTGGGAGGGGGAGCCCACAGCGCTTGTCCCAGGACAGCTGAGTATGGTGGTGAGGCTGCTAGTTTAGAAAAGTAGCTGGAGCAGGGGGGCCTAGACCCAGAGCTGGTGCGCAGCGCTGCTGGCCGAGGCAGGTGCTGCTTCCCCGGCACGTCCGCCCTCACCTCGGTGCTGGGGCCAGTGTGACTGAAATCCCTCTTCCTCTTGGGTTCTCTGATCCCGGACTTAAATGAACATGGCTGCTGCATCAAAACGGACTGTGGTAGGGCTCCCCTTGAACGAATCTAAACGGCCAATGCTGACATCTCAGGTCACGTCCCCTGGAGGGCTGTGTCCTGTGTCCTACCCCAGTCAGCCGCGGGAGGGCGGGGAGGACCAGGTGGCATCAATGGGATATTGCAGCTGCGGCTCCACGAGGGCCGACGGGGACCGTCTCACTCATTCCGGGTCCCCAGCGCTTGGCCGAGGGCATCGGGGCACAGTTTAGCGGAGCCTGCTGACGTCTGTCCCGAAAGGCTGCCCAGGCCAGAGGCCCTCGGCCACCACCTCCACCCAGCTGACTTGAGTTGACCATCAGGCTCCTTTTAAGTTAGCCAAGTGTGCATCTTTGATAATTGACCACTTAAGTGTGTGATTAAAACTGGTTCAGTGAGGTGTTCGCGCTGCATGTCGGTGAGGGAGCGTGGCCTTGAGCTCACTCAGTCGTTCACGCCTGGGGATGTGCTGGGTTCCATTTCTCTCCTGCGTCTTTTCACCGTTCCAGTTGGATCAGACCTGGGAAGGACTACATCCTTCCACACCTGCAGGAGATGAGAGTTCAAAGCAGATTTCCACCCCGAGAGTCTTTGAGTTCCGTGGCTGACGTGTGTGGGGAGCAGCCCTGCTGCCGGCTTTTACAGGCCAGTTCGGGCCGATCCCGCAGCCGGGCCAGAACCCCGCACCTCCAGGGCGTGGATGGCATCGCGGAGGGTCTCGCTGGCCTCCTGCGTGATGCTGGCTCTGCGTATGGAAGCTGGCCCTGCTGCATCGAGTTGAAAAGTCTTGGCATTGAAAGAGCCTGTTATGACCTATTTGTAAAGTATTTCAGAATCACCTACATGGATATTTTGCCCTCAATTCTGTATAATTAGAAGGTATAAACCCAACTTGGGGACTGTCTCGGTGCACCAGCGCAACCTAGATTAGAGCTCCCCGTGTAGGTGTTTCCTTTTTTCCTTCAAAAGAAATCATATAACAAAAGCAAAAGGAATTGAGCTCATCATCATGGTTCTCAAATACTTGAAAACAGTATTGGCTAACTAACATGGAAACGTGTGGGCTGATTGGCAGACCCTTTCTCTTCACCGAGAGCAGAAACAGAAATCTCAGGGAACGTTTAAAAGCCCCTGGTGAGTTCTGCCTCGGAGGCGGGTGAGCCGTGGCTGGATTCCCACCTGCCCAGCTCTCTCCCCTCACCTCGGGTCCTGGCGGAAGCTGGTTGCCGATGTTCCTGGTTGTGGGCACCATTAACGTGCAGCCTTGTGGGTGTGGCTGGCTGCGGAGGTGGGACCTGTGGTCCTTGTCCGTTTGACAGCTGTCATCCGAGGCCTCGCTGCTCAGCCAGTGCACACGCTCCCTCAGCCAGCAGCGCTCCCTCGGAGGAGTGTCCCTTTGTGGGGAGGCAGGTGTGGGGCCAGCGCTGCCCCAAGTGGCCAGGATCCCAGAGCAGGATGGATTGTGTCGGGGGAGCCTTGGGGGCCAGAACTTCCTCTTCTCATGCTTGTGGCCCTCAGGTGCTCGGGTCAGGATGTGCGGCCTTCCTTGGTCACACAGGACCCTCTTGTCTGTCTGTTTAGTTATTCCTGATGTGATCGGTACCCTCAAGTTCACCACCAAAACAGAAGCTGGGGTCTTGCTGAGAACCCCCGTTGGCCAGCCTGAGATCTCAGCCGTGTGCTCCCAGCCTCCCCAGCTGAGATTTCCAGCTCCCTCGTTTTACCGTCTGTTCCTTCCCGGGGGGAATCTCTGCTCCTTGGGATTGAGTCTTGAAGCACTGGTGGAGATGGCCTGGGCAGATGGGCGGGGTGAGGATTGAGCGCATCCTCGGCCAGGGCAGGTATGAGAGCACACAGGTGTGAGGGGCCAGGTGTGTTCAGGGACAAGTGGGTATAGGGCAGCAGCCAGGGGAGAGCAGGGGTGGTGGTGGTTCCTGGCCTCTCACAGGTAGAGGGTACCTGTAGGATCAGGCCAGGAGGGAAGGTGTTTCCAGAAGTTTCAGGTGTAGAAATGGCCCTGGGAGGAGGTCCAGGCTGGTGGTGGAGGCTGGGGCTGCCCTGGTCCTGGGCTAGGGGCCCTCCTGGGAGAGAAGGGGAAGGTTGGAACCTGGGGGTGTCGTGGCAGCACAGGGGGCTGGGGCTGGGAGGGGTTGTCGTGAGGCCAAGCATCGAGGGAAGCTGGGCCCCATCCCTCCCAGTGTGGGGCCCACAGACCAGGCCCAGAGGAACGTGCCCTTCTCCCAGAGACACATACACAGGCATCTCCCAGGCACCTAGGGAGCGTGGGGGCAGGTGCAGAGGGTGGGGTTTCAAGCATCCGGGCTGGCTGGGAAATTGCTGAGAGAGAGACTGAGAGAGAGAAATGCAAGGCTTGTTGGAGACTCTGCTTCTGCTGGTCTCAGTCTGCGGTTTCCAGAACAGTCGGGGTGAGGGGTGACCTGGAGGGCTGACTACTGGGTCAGCTTTCCACACGGTTGCCTTGGAGGGGGTGCCTCTTCTGCCCCCAGAGCCTGGGGCTGTGGGTCTGTCTTTAATGCAGGGTTTCCCACCATGGACCTTGTCCTGTGGGGCCGGTCCAGACTGCCTTGTTTCTGGAAAAGGAGGTGATGTTCTAGGTCCTGGGTCTGGTAGAGGCGCTGGGGTCCCAGAGTGGAGACCTCCTTGTTCCCGCCCCACAGTGCGTCACCAGGCGAGCAGCTCTTCCAGCTAACGGTCCCCCGTATCACTGTGGGTCCCCTGTGGCTGTTGGGGGGCCAAGATGCGACGTGCAGAGAACCCCCGAGCCTGTGCTGCACAGACAGGTCCTCGGGTCCCCGGCGTTAAATCTGGCGCTCTCCTCCTCCCTCTGTTCCTGTCACCACCCGCCCGCTGCCCAGGGAGCTGAGGAAGTGAGCGTCACTGGGGAGGGAATGGACTGGGGGCTTTGTAGTGGGGAAGACGAGGCTGCTTCCTGGTGAGGGGGCAGCCACCCCTGCTCCCCGTGTTGGGCCGGCATCCCTTCGTGGACACAGTGGGGATCAGGTGCGTGCAGGGCCAGCGCTCCGAGGGGAGGTCGGGGCCGTGGGGCGCAGGCCCTCTCTGCCACTTCTCCCTGGCCTGGCTTGGAGGGACGCTGCGCTCTGGGCCAGCTCGCGTGGCGTCTTACCTGGTTGAATGGAATCTGTGAGGCCAGAGCTGTCAGTCTGTGCAGGGGTGGCTGTGGTGGGGTGACGAGGGCCAGGACAGCCCTTCCTGCAGGGGCCACCTGCCACAGCACTGGGCTGATAGTTGAAGGTGCCCTCCCCTCTCCCGTGTGGGTGGAGCCGGCCTCCCGGGCGCCCTGGGGTGTGTACTCTTCAGGGGGTTTGGGGGTCCTTCTCTCTTCTCAGCTGAACCAGTTATGGAATGCTGCTCCCTTTTGGAATTGGGAGATTGGGCCCCAAAGGCGGCACGCTGTTGTCATCTTGGGGCCTCCTCCCCAGTCACTGAGGCCTCCTCCTTGCAGAACTTTGATGCTGCATGACCGACTCAGCTAGGTGGGACTGGAAACCACCCTTCTCAGCGTTGCCAACCTGTTAGTCTTGTTCAGCCAGGCCTGCGTGCTGGCTTTCAGCTTTTGGTGGGTCCTGCCCTCCCCTGGGAACCCAGAGCCAGACCTTTGACCCCTGGGCTGTGAATGGGCAGGGTGGAGGAGGGGCTCTGGTGGGTGAGCAGACAGGGAGGTTCCTTTGATGCCTACGGGCGGCCTGGCCGGGGCGGGCCGGGGCGCCAGCCTCGCGGAGCAGCCCTGGCTCAGGGTGGCGTCAGTGCGGCGTGCTTCCTGGCAGGGGAGTGTTTCGGTGGCACGCTGGGTTTTCCTGAAGAGAAAGGGTGTGGAGCCCCCACAGCGTGTGAGAATGAGGTGATGCTGTGAGCGGGCTCTTGCCTGGACCAGGAGGTGCCCCGCCGGGGGCTCTCGGGTGTCAGGGGTTCTGGCGGGTCTTAATTAGGACAAACAAGTGCGGCTTTCTTTGCAGGTCACTGTTCCAGGTAGCTTCGTGAGATGGGGAGGCTTTTACCGTTTTCTGTGCTCTCGCAACCTGCCTTTTGGGCGCCGTGCAAGGCGGCACCTTCTGATCAGTTGCTTTTCAGCCTGTAAAGGGTTTAGCAGTGGCCACCTGTTTTGGGTCAGACTTTGAAAATTCTGGCGAGATGTCTGGGTCTCCTCTGCTCTGGGGAGTGGAGTCCAGGGGTAGGGCCGTGCGGGAGGGACGGAGGGAAGGAGTCTGTCCTGCTGATTGGTTCCTTCTGCCTGCGGGTTCCAGTTACGGAAGGGACAGAACCTCGATTTGGGCATCCTGACAGGAGACCCTCTAAGTGTCGCTCCCCAGCTTCTTATGGTGAAATGCTGGTTTGGGTCTGATTGGCGACGAGTTGCTGAGACTGGATTCAGGCTGCTCTTGGGCCCAGGTGGTGGGGTTCTCTTGGCTGAGCCAGGGAGGGGCATGGCCTGGGGGCAGGAGCCTGTGGGGTGGGAGAGGGTGGGGAGGCCCCGCGGTCTGAAGCTGGGGGGATGTGACTTAGCGGCGAGCTCCTGCCAGGGAAAGGTGTGCCTGATACGGGAAACAGGAGCTGCTGAAAGCTGGTCCTCCCCCGCCCATCCGCCCCTTCGTGCGGGCACAGGAGGTGAGGGCTGAGCAGGCCTTGTGAGGGCCAGGGGTCTTATCCTCCATGCCAACCATTCCAGGCCCCAGTGGAAAGGAGAGAAGTGAATGGGCCTGAGCCCTGAGCACAGGGAGGTGGTCCCAGGAAGGCGAGAACTGCCCTCCCTCAAAGGCCAGTGGGGAGGGCCGCTGTGAGCTGGGCCAGGGGCACCACTAGAGCTTTGCAGCCCCTGGAGAAGGTCGGGGTGTCGGGTGGGAAGGGGGCCCCGGGGTCTGTTACAGATTCAGCACAGAAACAGGTGGACTGAGGTGGGGGAGTCAGGTCAGGACCTTCCTGACTTCGAGCGGATCCCTAGCACACACGGAGATTTCTGGAACCCTTGACAACAGGTGGGGGCTGGGGCTGGACCCTTCCGCCGTGGAGCGGCCTGGGGCGTGGCTGGCGGGGCCTGCGTGTGTTAGTGGTTGCGTTGTTAATCATGTAGAACACAGATGGCCACTGGCTTTTCAGACCTTGAGCCATTCTTTTCACAGTTGTGCTTTGAAATACTCTTTTTTTAAAAGAGTGAGTATCACCTAGTTCCCTAACCTGCACTGTAGGTATCCGCTCAGTTCTCTGGAACGAGAGTCTCATTCTCGGTGGAGGATGGATGAAAACGTTTCCACAGATCAGCCCCCTAACGCATCACAGCCACACAGGCCGATGGATTCCGCCACATCCGTGCTCCTGAAGCACGTGCCTCGTGTCTTAATTACCCTTGCAGAAAAGTGGCTGCCCGAAGGCTCTCCCCACGCAGGGAGCTTCTGGAGACTGATCTGGGAGACTCCCAGGTGCATCTTGTTATCAGCGGTGCTTTCTCCCTGTAGAATTGCTGATAAAGGGGATGATTGCAAATCCAGTCTTCCCTTAAAGGCATCGCGACAGCTTGCTGTTTACAGACAGTTTGTCAGAGGGTCCTGCGGAGAGGGGGGTCCTTTAGTCACGCAGTCATTCTTTCCGGAATGTCTGTTTTGGGAAGGGGCTGTGGTACGCCTTGATTCCTCAAGGCTGGCGATGCCTGCGCCCCCGAGAACCCTGCCACCAGCTTATAACCGGGGCCCACAGGTGTCACTTGGGAGCTGGCACCCTCCTCTTGTTCTCCAAGTGGCAGGGTGTCAGGCCACTGTCAAGGGTCTCCCCAAAGTCAAGATGGCTCAGGCCCTTGCCCCCCCATCGGCAGTGCCCTCTGCTGGTGCCCGGCCTCCAGTCCGTGGCCCGCCTCCCTTGTCCTCCATGCCCACGGGCGGGGCGGGGCCAGGTGTATGTGTGTCGGGTGCGCAAGAGCCCTGGGCTGTTCTCCAGGGTGTGCTGGGGGCTGGGCTGCTGCACACCCACGGCCGGCTCTCTGCACCGCAGCCCCCACTCGGGGTCTCAGGTTGTGCCCATGGACACAGCCTGCCCCCTGGGGCCCAGTTGCAGCTGCCCAAAGCCAGGGCCGGAGTCCTGGGGAGCCATGGGCTGACAAGGGTGCCCTCAGGACATGTGTCCAAGCCTGTCCCTGCACCCCTTCCCCGAATCACTGGAGTAGACCGGGGGTTCTCAGACTCTGGTCTCGGAACCAACCCCTTTAGCAGTGAGGTAGCGAGGTCTCCAGAGAGCCTCTTCACATGGGACATATCCCTTGCTCTTTACCGGTTAGAAATTAAGAAATTTACAACTATTTATTTATTGAAAACTGCCAACTCTAAACCCATTACATGTTAACGCAAATAGTGTATTTTTATTTTTTTTTATATCACTCTTTTCCCCCCAAAAGCGGGGAAAATTAGTGCAGGGGGCACTGGCAGTTCTGCGGGCCTTGGCAGGAGCTGGTTAATTGAAGACAGGTGGGTTCTCCAGCCCCAGTCACCCTGTGGGGCCTCGAGAGACGGCACGTGTGGAACACAGACGGCGTCTAGGATGGTTGTTAAGTGGATCTGACCTCCTGGGTCCTCTGAAAGGGTCTTGGGGCCCCCAAGGGCTCCTGGACCACACTCTGAGGACTGGGAAAGATGTCCCTGCAGGGGTGAGGGCTTTTTTCAGTTTTTTTTCTGTTTTATTTGAGCCCATCCTGTTTCTTTATTTTAAATTAATTAATTTTTAAAAGCTGAAGTACTGTCAGTTGCAGTATGTCAGTTACAATGTGTCAGTTTCTCGTGTGCAGCATAATGTTTCAGTCATACACATGGATACGTGTATTCGTTTTCATATTCTTTTCCCTTATAGGTTACTACAAGATACTGAATACAGTTCCTGTGCTACACAGAAGAAATTTGCTTTTTATCTATTTTTATATACAGTAGTTAGTATTTACAAATCTTGAACTCTCAGTGTATCCCTTCCCACCCCCTTTTCCCACCCTCCTGTTTCTTTTATGTCCACCTTGAACTTGGTTGACATGACCTAGTCCACACATTCAGGACCCAGTGTTCAGAAGCGGTTGCAGCTGGTTCCCCTCTCCTGCCAGTCTCTGTCCCTCCCCACCTCTCCCTGGGATACGAGGGGCAGCCCACATGCGCACAGTCTCGCGCAGGCAGGTAGCAGTGTGCACGCTGCAATGAAGCAACCTTGCCTGGATGTCATTTTGCAAGTGTGAGTAGGAGAGATTCTTGGAAATGGCAGTGTGATTTTACTGGATTTTGCGGAATTGCCCTGCACTCCACTCTCAAGTGGGGGACCCCGGTTCCCTGTCCTGACACCCACACACCGCGTCTGTGCCCATCTGTCAGGGAAATCGTTTCTTGACGTAATTTTAATTTGTGCTTTGTGCTTCCCTCTCCGTACGCGAAGGGAGCCAGCCGTCCTGTCACATGCTTAGGAGCTGTGTGTTCTCCTCTGCTGCAGGCTGGGTCTTTTGCCCACTTTTCTGCTGGGCGGCTTTTCAACATTAGACAAATTAATCCTTCGTAATCTGTGTTGCAAGTGTTTTTTCCTGGGTTGCCGTTTATCTTTGACTGTTGACAGAGGTTTTTGCCTGGCAGACGCGTGTTTGTAGTGTAACCTGTCTTCTCCTTTACCGTGTGTCTGGTCTTGCTTGGAAAGGCCCCGTCCGGCCCCAAGGTTCCGAACCCCCACCACCAAACCACCACGGCCCCCTCGGCTCCTCCCCTGCTGTCCTTATTCTACCTTCAAGTCTTTGGTCCACTTTGAATTTGTGTTGGGAAGGAGTGAGGTGTGGCCCCAGTGTCATCTTTCTCCACCAAGCTCTCACCTGTTGAATGATGCGGGTCTCCCCTCCGACCGAGAAGGCCCCTCGCCCCAGTGGGTCTGGGTCTGTTCGCTACATTCTAGCAGGTTCCATGGCTCTGCGTCGCTCATGTGCCACCGTCAAGCTTTTAACGTGACCACAGCTGCGTTGTGTTTTACCATGTGGCAGGGCTGGTCTCCCCTCACGCTGCTGGCTTTTCAGAGTTTTTCTGGCTCTTTGACTTATTTTTAACTCATAAACCTTAGACTCAGTTTGTCTTGCTTCCTCTAAAACCTTTTCAGGGGAATCACACTGGATGTGTAGATTATTTTAGAGTTTCGTCTTCCCGCTCCCCTTCTGTGTAAACATGGCTAAATACACGTGTGTGCAGATAACACACTGCGTACGTATCTGATGTATACATAGGCCTTAGTGTTTTAAAGTGTACAGTTCAGTGGCGTTAAGTACATTCACACTGTACTTAACGTGCAGTTCGTGGACACCCATCTCTAGAACTTTTCCATCTTCTCAAACTGAAACTGCCCCTCTCAGACCCCCGCTGCCCAGCCCTGGCCCCACCACCTGCTTTGTCTCTGGATTTGGCTCCTCTGGGTGCCTCGTGCAGGTGGGGTCGTGCGGTATTTGAACGTTTGTGACCCACTTGTTTCACTGAGTTTGGCGTCCTCAAGGTCCACCTGTGCTGTAGCCCGTGTTAGCACCTTCTTCCTTTTTAAGGCTGGATTCTCTTCCCTTGTGTGTAAGAGACCACGTTTTGTGTGTTCCAAATGGGCCTTGGGTTACTTCCGTGCTTCAGTGATTGCGACTTGTGCTACTGTGAACACGGGTGTGCAGGTCTCCCTTCGAGTCCCTGCTTTCAGTTCGTTTGGGATTGCTGGATCCCATGGTAGTCCTACTTTTAATTTTTTTGAGAAATTGTGCTGTTTTCCATGGTCCCCGTGGCTGTGATTTATGCTTCTGGTCGTGCGTGCTGAACATCAGGCCGGAGCGCTGGCTGAGAGTACAGTGCACCTGCAGCTCTGCGGCTGACTGCG